TCAGGAATAAGGCTAGCTTTTGTGGGAAACATTTGGCAGCAGCTAAAGGCCTTTGAGCACCAGGACTACACTCCCTCTGGGTTCAGACACCCAGGATGCATCCTCCAGTGCGTCCATATCAAAGTAGCCTGCAGCACCGGCCACGGCCCTGGGAGGCTCAGTTTTATTTCGGAGTCCCATGTACAGCTGATCTGTGGCTTCTGCCTGACAGATAACAGATGTGTGTCTGCAAGGGTCTGCAGAGTGATTCCAAACAGCCTGTATTTTTGTTCCAGAGCTAACATTTCCTGCGAGAGGCACTGCATCACAGAGAAATGGAAAAGTTTACATGAAACCACCCATGGAAATTTGTCTGGTTACAGTTCTATTAGCATCATATTTTGTTGTGTGTCGCTTAGCAGCTGGATGTGAACGTTTGTAGGCATTCCACTTTATGCGAAGAAATTGGGCATTAAGTCAGTGCCAATGCGTTTCCAATTTCCGTTACCTCACTGAGCCCAGGCGAGGGCGCTCAGGCGTTCATTTAGATAGGCACGCGCTTAGTGAACAGATTCAAATATGTGGTCCCTGTTTAGCTCAGACTGCTGCTTGAAATGCGACAGAGCTGGAACAAAAAAGGAGGAGCCCAGGAGGAGCTGCGGATGTGGAAAGCCATGGCTTGGTGGGGCAGGAGTGGTGGGATGGAGCTGTTTCAGGATCCACTATGACTGGTTTACATACATACATACGTTAGGTCCATATATACTTGGACACTGACACAAGTTATACTATTTTACCTGTTTACTGAAATATATTCCAATTGAAGTTATACAATGGGCATGGACATAAAGTGCAGACTCTCAGATTTCATTTTAGGGTATCCACATTCATATTGTTTGAAGGGTTTAGGAGTTTCAGCTTGTTAAAATGTGCCACCTTCTTTTTAAAGGGGCCAAAAGTAATTGGACAATTCAGTTAAAAGCTATTTCATGGACAGGTGTGGGCAATTCCTTCGTTCTTTCATTATCAATTAAGCAAATGAAAGGCCTGAAATTGATTTGAGGTGTTTTGTTTGCATCTGGAAGATTGAGGTGTGAACATACAACATGCGGTCAAAGGAACTCAGTATGCAGGTGAAATAGGCCATCCTTATGCTGCAAAAACAGAAAAAAACAATTTGAGAAATTGCCACAACATTAGGAGTGGCAAAATCCATAGTTTGGTACATCCTGAGAAAGAAAGAAAGCATTGGTAAAAGGCCTGGACATCCATGGATGACAACAGTGGTGGATGATCACAGAATCATTTCCATGGTGAAGAGAAACCCCTTCGTAACAGCCAACCAAGTGAACAAAACTCTCCAGGAGGCATATCAATATCCAAGTCTACCCTAAAGAGAAGACTGCATGAAAGCAAATACAGAGGGTTCACTGCAAGATGCAAGCCACTCATAAGCCTTAAGAATAGAAAGGCTAGATTGGACTTTGCAAAAAAACATCTAAAAAGCCAGCACAGTTCTGGAACAGCATTCTTTGGACAGATGAAACCAAGATCAACCTGTATCAGAATGATGGAAAGAAAAAAGTATGGAGAAGGGCTGGAACACCACACATCTGTAAAACATGGTGGAGGCAGTGTAATGGGTTGGGCGTGCATGGCTGCCAGTGGCACTGGGTCTTTAGTGTTTATTGATGATGTGACACAGGATGGAAGCTGCCGAATGAATGCTAAGGTGTTCAGCGATATCATGTCTAGGACTTGATGAATTGAACATTTTATTTGCAATTATATTAATTTGTCCAATTACTTATTGTCACACCCAAATGTCCGAGCCTCCTGTGTGCCACGCCCCCCTCGTTAACCTCATGTGAAATCCCGATGTCATCAGCTGTTTCTTGTTATTTCCACTTAGTCTTGTGTATTTCAGTCCGCGTTCGAGTATGTTTCCCCAGTCTTGTCATTGACGTTTTAGCCGTATGTGTACCTGCCTTGACATTTATGAGCCCTTGAAAGGAGGGGATTGTGTAGAAAAATTACTTTAGTTCCCCACATTTTTATGCAATGTTTTTGTTCTACCCACAGAATTAAAGCTGAAAGTCTGCACTTCAACTGCATCTGACTTGTTTCTTTTAAAATTAATTGTGGTAATGTACAGAACTCAAAAATTTAAAAACTTTGTTTCTGTCCAAATATTTATGGTCCTGAGTATCTCATGGATATAAGTTTCACCATTTACATCACTTGCAGATGCAACCAGAATGCACAAATATAAGAGGTCGTTAAAAAAAGGCATGGCTTGCAAATAGTTTATTTTTGGAAGTTAACCAAACCCTCTGCCTGTTAGAATACTGTGTCAGTCGCTGAACCATGGGTTGGGAATCCCCACATTAAAGAATTTATGCTCAGACAGGGAATGCTAAATTGATTAAATTTTGGTCATGATATGTAGCCAAAGTTAAAACATTAAACTGATATTTGTCAGGGTCAGCAACTGTCCGACCCTGCCCTTTATGTCCCCTTCCCATTTGGCCAGCAGGTGTTGCTGGCCATCCTGTCCTCTTCCCTGGTTTCTTGCCCTTCATCCCCATTGTGCCTAAGTCTCTTGTGTGTTTTCCCCAAACTGCTAAATAGGTCAGTGTGCTAAGAGTGTGGCTCTGATACTGTTCCCTTGTGTTGTGGGTTTGAAGCTGGCTTGAGATCACCCATTTTCTTTTTTTGGATTTTTGTTCTCTAGTGTTTACTTTGTGTTTTCTTATTCTTGAGTTTCCCCAGGTTTATTGTGGTTATTTCTGTGTCTTCTTGTTTCTAGTATTTCCTGGTGGTGTTTCCCATAGTACTTGCTGTAGATTCTTAGTCTTTAGTGTTTGTTAATTCTCTTAGTTCTCTGTGTTCTTAGGGTTATTGTGTCCACCTGTTTCTCATTGGTCCTGTGTCTCTCTTGATTGAATCCGAATCAGCTTTATTTGCCAAGTGTGCTGGGGCACACAAGGAATTTGATTCTGGCTGCTAGAGACTCCCTAGTACACAGGTAATAAATGACACTGTACAAACAATAAATTACACTATACAAGAAATAAAATTTGAAATATACATACATGGGTAACTATACAAGTATAAGGTGAGAGGTTGAGTGCAAACAGAGTTTAAGGGGGGAAAATTTACAGAAGGCAGGTGACACAGCTTAGCTGTTTAAGAGGGTGATGGCCTGAGGGAAGAAGCTGCTCCTATGTCTGGTGGTTTTTGTATACAGAGTTCTGTAGTGCCTGCCAGAGGAGAGGACCTGGAAAAGATTGTGTCCAGGGTGTGACGAATCTGCAATGATTTTATCTGCCCGTTTCCTAGTCTTTGTGCAGTACAAGTCCTGGATGGAGGGCAGGGGGGCACCAATGACTTTTTCCGCTGCCCTCACTGTTTGCTGCAGTCTCCCTTGGTCCTGTTTAATGGTTGCTCCAAACCACACTGTGATTGATGAGCAATGGACAGACTCAATGACAGCAGTGTAGAACTGGCTCAGCGGCTCCCGTGGCAGACCGTAAGGACAGACTCAATGACAGCAGTGTAGAACTGGCTCAGCAGCTCCCGTGGCAGACCATACCTCCTTTGTTGCCGCAGGAAGTACATCCTTTGCTGGGTCTTGACGGTGCCTCCTAAAATCCATTGTCATCTTCACAGCTCCAGGTTGTTCTGACTGCACCAGAACACCAGTCGGTCAACCTCCCATCAATTTGCAGACTCATCACCATCCTGGATAAGTCCGATGACTGTTGTGTCATCTGCAAACTTCAGGAATTTGACCACTGGGTCATTGGAGGTGCAGTCATTAGCGTAGAGGGAGAAGAGCAGTGGGGAGAGAACACAACCCTGGGGAGCACCAGTGCTGACTGTCCGTGTACCAGAATACACGTTCCCCAGCGTCACATGCTGCTTCCTGTCTGTTAGGAAGCTGGTGATTCAGTGATTAAGTTACACCTGTTCCCTGTTTTCCCTGGATGTTGGTGTATTTAAGTGCCTTCCCTCACTCTGTGCTTTAGTCTGCCATTGTCATCGTGAAATGTTGCCTTGTTCTTTGGTCCTTGTTCTGCTTTCTATGTTGCCCTGCTCATTAGTTGTGTTTCCCTTATGGTTTTTGTAGCTTGTTTTAGTTTTAAGTTCTGTTATAATTTTCTGACCCGTTGTTGTCCTTTATTTTGCGTGATTCACAGTGTTCTGTACTTCCTTTAAATAAAACCCCCTATTGTTTTGGAGCCGCAAGTGGATCATCACACTCACTATAATCTGAATGATGTATCTATGGCACAGTTATAGGATGTGGTCTCTACGCACAGGGCACTGTTTCTGCGTCTCCTCAGAAGCTGCCACTGGTTTAAATTAGCCTGCTGGTTTAGCTGGATGTTTTTCTTAAGGAGTCTAAATGTCCCATCAGGCTAGTAATGGGGAGGAGGGGGGAAGGGTTTCATATGAATATTGGAATAGTGAAAAAAGAACTTACAGTTTTTGTCAAGACATATTATCAGCTGTGATCAAATTAAAACAAAGAACTCAGAAATCTAGAGGCAGAGATCAGCGACATAAGGCTATTTCTTCTGAAACACAGACCAGTATACTAAACTGGTGAATAATGCACACCAGCTCAGCTATAAAACCCTTCTGGAAAATTCCAGTAAAATTTCCAGTAGGGAAGGCACATGTTTAGATAATCAATTCCTTCAGTTGTCTGTGTGTGTGTGTGTGTGTGTATGTGAGAAAGGGAGAGATAGCCAAACAACCTGGCTCTCAAACGCAGCCTTTGACCCTCCTGAAAGCACTCCCACAGGAAAAACAGTGTGTTGGGTAGGTTCTTGCGGATGCTGGCAGTCCTGCTGTGGGCAATACAGGGTCTGTCACCAGTATCACCTAGGTTAAGATCCTTTCTCAACAGAATAGTACTGTTCCCTTGCTGAAGGGGCTTTTGGTTACCATTAACTACTGCACCTAACAGTTATATGACTAACAAAGCATGTAACCACATACGCAGTAACAGGTTGATTTATTCGCTATTGTATTCACTTTATTTTTTGCTGGCAATAGAGGTTATTGTCTCATCCAGTTAAACTATTTCTAATGGTGCTGCTCCAGATTGTTAATGGTCCAAAGTTGCTTCAGTCCAGCTTCAGTTACCATGGAACTACTGACTTACTGGAACAATGTCCCTTGGCTTATTGTGAAGATATTAATTTCCATCACAGTCTCTGTCGTGTGTACTGTATTCATACATTAATATTCTTTGTTATTTTGCTTTGTTAATCTGTTTAATATCTAATGGATTTCCATATTTCATTTGTCAACCCAATGTCATGGCTGGTGTACATGGCTATGTAAGCATCATCCAGTGATCTGCAAGGTGTCCTCTGAGGCGTAAGCTCCATTTGCTGTGCTCTGTTGTGCTGTTACCAGGGGCAGCATCAAAACCACCAAGTGGCCAGTGAAGGGTAGTAAACAGTGAGCTTTGAGATGGGCTCAGCAGGCCGGTCATTAGCTATGGAGATGCTATCCAGCTACTCCTCCACAGTCACAGAAAGGCTTCTTCCTTGGTCTATCCCAAAGCTTCCCATCATCTGGTTCCACTTGAGAGCAAAGCTTCCTTACAAAAACACATATCACACACTAATAAAAAGCTGCTGTTCCCGCTGCCTCCTGTTAAAAAAGGTTATACGGCTATAGACTGTTGGGTGGTCTGTACTGCGAGCAAGTGTCTGGTGCTCTTGTTGAACAGCTTTGCTTTCATCTCCTTGAGAGGTACGGGGAGAGAGGACACCCAGCCATGGTGGTTTACCATCTTGAGTAATAACTTGGACTTACACCAGTGGTATCAGGCTTTGTATAGATCCCAGCCCAGTCCTGCAGCACCTGGATCTCCCCATCTCCCCCGAGCCAACCTGATGTGACCATAACAAAGGCTTTTGATTTTTTCAACAGGGGCTTGAGCTGTCACCATAACTCGTATGTCTGCTGCCACCCGTACCATCACTCAAGCCAGGACAAGCAACAGTTGGTCTGCCTTGGGGGGGGGGCTTGGACATGAGAAGCCCATCAACCCCCCCGTTTCACATGGTTTCACCATGTTAGTCCTTAGCCCAGGGTGTGTTTCTGGCACCACCGTCATTTGCTTAACAACCCTACACTCAAACTAAACAAACCCTACACTAAAACAAAATGCAGAAAAACTACCCAGCATATTCAGTGGGACAAGAGCCTTACTGCAGCACTGATGGTCCCACCTGTTCACCAATATCAAGCTCTTATGAAGAACTATAATGCTGTACAAAGCTCACCATCAGCGATTCCACATTACTCTAAGGGACATGTTTGTTTGATCCTTTACTCTAAATGACGTTTGTTTGTTCCTTTACTTTGCAAAAACCCTATGGAGTGTGGTCCCATTGGTGAATGCAGGTATGGCTTATCTATGTTGCTAGCTCTGATAGACAGGGATCTGTGCAGCACATCTGCAGCCCATGATCTTGCATGACTTGCGAAATGTCATTCATTCTGGTTCCTGGGCCATTAAGTTATCCTGGGGAGATTTTTTCATGTTCCATGTCCTGCAATTCAGCCGTAAAAATGGCGTCGCACTCATCCAGCCAGTGTGTTCACCAAAAAACACAGATTCCTTTTTTTCTGGTAATTTTTATATCACAGGGATGTGCATCTGGTCCTCAAAAGAAATGATGTGTTTCTTTACTTAATGCCATTGTCAGATGTAATGATTGTGAATGATTTCTTTTAGTGTTGATACCCAAAGATCAAACACATGGAATATAACTTCAGAAGGGAGCATCATTGTGCACAACATATGCGGGTGTATCTCATTTAGCCTTCATGAGTCATGTCTTGTATCAAGGTCACGTTTTAAAATGATTCTTCTTGAAAAGGAGTGCTGGCCCCATTTTAACACATGGCTGAATCCAGAAGCAAACCGTTTTCCGTGTCGCAGACAGGTGATTCATGCAGCTTGACTGCAATAGAGCAGCTTCACCACAAATCCTGGTGGCGGTGTCATTCTTTAATGTCTACATCCAAAAGCTCCTACGTCTTAATTTGTATGTACAATGTAAAATCTGTCATATAAAAAATACCTCCCTATTATACATGCCAGTTATCTTCATTGCTTTATCTGGTGGGGGGAAAGTGCCCAACCCTCCCTTCTGCCTGCAGGTGAGCTGTGGTCCATCATCACAATGACCAAAGCCCACGTCAAACTCACCGGCACATCAACCAGTGGCTTTATGGCTTGGGTTTGCAGTGACTGTCATGGTCGTCACAGATGCAACCCTTGTGACTCGCACCATGGCACACTCATTGCACATCGCCCAATGTCCCCAAGATTTCTTTCAGGAGGATAAGTAAAACAGGAGGAAAAAAGGTAAACAGACAGAGTACAGAGTGGGCAGGACACACCGGGCCTCCTGGAGGCCTGGCTGACAGCCTGGGATTCTTTGCAGCCATCCAACCACAACTACAACAACAAAACAGCAACAACAACAACACCAAGAAACAAAGGCGCTCTCACACAAATCTCACATACACAGACACACACGGTCCTCAGACAGAGTCATTGCCTGTTTGCACCGCATTCAGACAGAAATCTACAGTGCGATATACTGTATCACTATTTTGAAGCTCCGTGTGGGTATTGCACAAGTGTCATTGATTGTTCTCCTCTAGAAATTATTGTTCCTTCCATCAATTGGCCAGCATTAGCACATTGTTTCTTCTGATTGCTATGCTGTTACCGCCCCTGCAGAGCATGTAGCTATACAGGCATGTGGAGTTCGTCGTATTCATCCCTGCCGTCTTCGTCGAAGTTGGGGGAATCCACGTCAGAGTCCAGCTGAAATCACCCAAATACAGGGACTTAATATGCTACAGGACCATCTAAGCTCCAGTCTGAAGGTGCAACAAGGCATGATGAGCTAGAGCTGTTTCCACGGTTTCCCAACAACGTGATAGAAAGCAAGAAGCTCCACCCACCGCTTTGAGCTCCCGCTCCTTGAATATCCGTGTGAGGACTAGGCGACGTAGCGGCACGGTCAGGATAAGGACAAACGGGAAGGCCAGAGATGCCACTGTCGACTTGACTACCCACAGCAGCATGATGCACGTGAGCTGGATGACCGTGAACATGTTCATACGCCAGGTTTTAACCTGCAAATCACGACAAAAAGAGATATACACAGACTCTCACACAGACACCGCATGCAGGGATGCTGTCATGTTCACACCTTCCAAACTACATGGTTCTGCATGACTCCTCTGATTAGGGGGGTTGTTTGTGGATGTGAAAATGGATTGGGCATCACCTAGTGGCTCCTACTATGTACAACACTGTGTAATAAGGTTTGCTGTGTGCTAGTTGGGGACGGCACCTTGGTGACGTAGACATGGTCAGGGTGGTGCTTGGCTGGTGTGACCATCAACATGACACGCTCATACAGCTGGATCCCCGTCAGGGAGGTGACACCCATGTACAGGAAGATGCCGAATATCACGGCCAAGGGGATGTGGCATAGCACGTTGGTCATGACACCAGACATGCCTGAGAGAGAGCAGGAGGGATGGCTTGTCAGGAGTTCACATCTCTCAGGAGACTGGAACTGCTCCCTGAAAGGCTGCTTGAAAATGGCTAAATAACAGGGAAATGTTACACGCCTCAAGAGGACATCATCACAGAAAAAGGCGATGCTAAGAACATCATCCAACAAGCACTGAAGAGCCCCCTGCAGAACATAAATACATTTGACTGAAAGTACACTTTGTTCTGACTGATTTGTCAGACAGACCTTCTTTACTCAAAAGGAACACTAGATGTCGGTATAGTTGAGAGGCAGCACTTACCCATGAGTAGGGCGACAGCCATACCGGTGAGCCTCTGCTCTTTGACCTCCTGGATGACAGGCCTCTCGCCAGGGGCTGTGGCAGTGCTCATGACCGTGAGGGCATTGACGTGGGTGATGGAGCGAAGAGTGGCAGCTGTGAGCCAGGGCAGGCCGAAGAGTGGGCAGAGTGCCCCCAACAGGATGATCAGTAGCAGATCCAAGTGGAAGCCTGAACCCTTCACCAGGTGACGCTCCTTCTTACTCACAATCAGCCTGGGATGGGGGAAGTTAGGAGTCAGACTTGGCTGTGAGATAAACTTCTACAATCCTGAAATGACAGTTAATATTATAAAGTAGTTTTAAAGGTACAATCTCTAGCGCAGAAAAAATCCTATCATCTGGCCACGTCATAGCAAAACGCATGACTCACATGTTTGTGGTGATGCTCGTGTAAACAAACCTACTGCACTGCCTGTCATGTAAAGGTATAGCACATACAATCATTTACAGTACATAATACTGTATATATACTGGACTTTTTATATTTATTTTAGAATGTACTCATTCTACCTTGCCACATGTAACTGCAATACTTCCACTTATGCCTAGGCACAACGTCAGCATAATCATAACTTTGCTTTTAGCATTGTAACAAGAACATTGTAATTATTTTGCATCTCAGTCAACAACTGATTTACAGTGCTTGCTTTGTCTTGCAATTTTTATCAAGAATCCCAACAGCAAGCTGAGCAGCTTGTAAATGTGTTGTACGTTATAAATTTGGATTTCTGCTTTCAATTTTTTTTTACTTCAGTATTGATTAGCTATTTGTTCAGCTAACCAAAAGTAGGCTATATATTTTTTTCCTGCACATAGCATTTGTGAAAACTGTGCACACATGCTCCTTGAGGGAGAAAATTTATGTTCCAGGTTGTGCAGATCCATTGGGCTTGAAGTGGGATGGTGTGTGTTAAGTTTGGGGGTGTAGTTAACATTTATGTGACAGTCTTGAATTTTTGAATCAGCCCCTTTTACAGCCGTTTTTACATATGTGGTATTTATATTTGAAAGAGGGAAGAACAGTGTTTGAGATTCACCATATGTCATTTCCTTGTATCGAATCCTCCTTATTCAACTATGCTGAGGTAAAGTCAGATTTTCATTCTAGGGCACTTTTAATGAAAGACACACAAACACACACTCACGAGGTGATCTGGGTTTCCATGAAGATGAGGATGAAAACCAGAAGGGCAGGGACAATGGAGGCAGCCATCATCCACATGGGAAAGGTCTGCTTGTCTCCAAATGGGCTGATGAACCAGCCACGCTTGTCAGGAGATGTGACTGAGAATCCTGTGGGCACATTCAGCTTCTGCCACAGCAAGGAGACCACAAAACAAAAAGAGTTATAGCCACTCATGACACTCTTATGGAACATGCCCTGTATGCATGAGAGCCTCAAGTGGGTTTAAGAACCTGTGTGTCAGCATCTGGAATGATGTAATCCACAATGACGGAACACAGGATGGAGATCGGCATCCCAAAGTCACCGATGATTCGCCTGGCCTGCAAAGTAGAATAATGAACCCATTCAGGCACTCAATAGATGTCAAGATTGGTTCCTGTCCTGCCCTGGCCCATGTGTCATTTCCATGTTTAGCCAGCGGGTGTTGCTGGTCACCCCATCTCCCATTATTTCAAAGGTTTGTTTTAGTTCCCAGTGTGTGCCCTTGTTTTTGGTCTGCCATGTGGCTCAATTAGCTGTGTGTGCAGCTATGTAAAAGTTCAAAGCTAGTTAAAGTTCAAAGCTAGTTAAAGGCCAGCCTCAACAATTTAACATTTGTATTTTGTTGTGTACCCCTGGTCAAGTTGCTGGTATATTTCTGTTGGATCCTTGTTTTTGCTCCTTGATATCTCCTGCTTGTAGTTATGTTCTGTATGCATGTTTGTAGTCTTTCTTAGTTTTTGTGTCTGTAGTAATTCTTGATTATGCTTACCTGTTTCTTGTTAGTGGTAGTCTTTGTGCTCTGGTATAGCTCTGGTATACCAGTCCCTTGTTGAAGCCCTCGTTATGTGTATATATGTGCCTGTCCTTGCCCTCTTTCCTCATTGGTCATTGTGCTTTTGTTGCTGTTGTTGCCGTCTGTTTGTACTACTATGGTTGTTCCTGTGTTGCACCCTGTCTTAGTTTATGTCTTTTGCCTATTTTATTGTTGACCCCTCATGGTCCTTTTGTTTCTTGTTTTCAATAAAGTCCCATCCTTATGTGCAACAACCTGAATCATCTGTCTGTCACCATGCCTATCTGTAACAGTAGAGACGTCAAACAGTTCCCAGTGGGCCACACCATACCTTCCCTCCCAAGAAGCGGCTGTTCCGGAACTTTCTGAAGAAGAAGGCCACAAAGAAGGTGCCCAGAACCAGCACCAGAGACAACAGGGCTGTGTTGGGTTGTGTGACTTGGGCGTTGTGGTTTGCTTCAATGTCCAGCTCCCAGGAATAGTTGGAGAAGCCCAGGGAAGAAGGAGAGCTGGGCAGGGGGTTATTTCTCATCAATGGGTGCTCCTGAAACACCTGGAAATTGGGTGAGGACACAGGTTCAGTCGTTCACAAATAACAGAAGGATCAGAATTTCACATCCCAAGCCTCTGCACTCATGGTGGCTGTTATTTCCAGGGGTTGACCTTACCTTGATGAGTTTGGAGAAAGACTCAAAGATAAATATGAGGGAAATAAGGAATGCAAAGATTTCCTGGGTGAAGGGAGAGATGTAGCGAACCAGGAAGCTTCCCTCTGCAGCTACAATGATCAGCACAATGGAGATAAGCCAGAAGCCAATCCATACCCGGCCAGTCAGGTACTCAAGACCCTGAGCCTGGCAGAACTGGGACACAAGGTAAGAAATGGTTTAGGAAGGATGTGAAGAAGAGGCAAATCTTGGTGTATGTGTTCTGCATACATACAGCATAATGGTATGTGCATGTGTGCTGTACCTTGAAGAAGGCTTCCTCAAACACTAGCAAAGGGCCAGAAAAACCAATGATGAGCAGAGGCTGGCCTGCCAGGAGGGAGAAGATCACCCCTAGGACAGCAGTGGAGATGATCAACTCAGACACACCCATCAGACCCTCTGTCTTTTCACCTGTAAGAACGGCAGGCAGCAATGGAAGTAGGAAGAAGCATTCAGGTACTGTGTGCTCAAGCAAATGTATACTGTATACAAACTGTACACTACCTGCATACACTGCATTGCATGTACTAATAATATTATACAGTGGTACCTCAGAACTCGAACTTAATCCGTTCAGAACTTGGGTTCGAATCCTAAAAAGTTCGAGTTCTGGTCGAATTTCCCCCATAAGAAATAATGGAAAACCAATTAATTGGTTCCCGGCTCCAAAAAATTATACATAAATATGTTTTTTTTTTTGCATTTAAACACAAAATGAACAGGATAAAACAAGAACAGCATATACTGTACTAAACACATCTAAGCACATTTATCAAAACATTAATTACAGTAAGTAAGAAGATAAATGTATCCAAACAATATGTAAAGTTAAAAAAAAAAAACAATGTGTCCTGCCCCGATCATCCGCTCCTGCGTGCCACGCTCCCTCGTTAACCTCATGTGGAATCCCCGTGTGATCAGCTGTTTCTGGTTGTTGTCATTAGTCGTCTGTATTGCGTCCGCGTTTCAGTTTGTTTCCCCAGTCCGGTCATGGTATTGTCCATCTGCGTTTTGCCTGCCTTACCTGTAATTAAACCCTGTATTCCCCGATACCCTGACGTCTGCGCCTTTGTCTCCGTTCCGTCCCCACTCAGCATGACAATATTATTATAATTAAGTGTATTAATGGTTTATTATTAATGATATTAAAATAATTAATGAGAAATCTTTATTTTTAAATGTATTTTATTATATAATAATTACTGTTACTGTCTATCATTGTCAAAATGTATTTTTACTGTCTAAATATATGTATTCAGCTAGTGTAAACATGCACAATGCTACACAGCGAATGTGAGGTGGAGACTGAAGCTTTACCCTTTGTTTCCTCTGAGAGACGTGCCGCGTGACTCATTTCCCCACGCGTGCAAGTTATCTTAGGACGGCGTTCACGGTTCAACTTCTGAGATTCAGATCAAGTTCTAGGTCATTTTTTTCGAACTGGTTGGTTCGAGTTTTAAGAAATTCGACTTCTAATGAGTTCAAGAACTGAGGTACCACTGTAATAACAATAATAGTTATGGTATGTTTGCCCACTCACCCAGCATCCCTCCAAACGCAATGGTTGGAGAAAGGGCTGCAAAGTAGATGAAGATGACAGCAGCTGCACACTGTGTGTCCAGGGCGTCCTTCAGGTCGCTCATGTAGTGAGGGTACCTCCGACGGATGTCATGGAGTAGACCCCCAAACGGGACCCCTGACCGCTTCATGGGGTCCACATCTTGCTCCTCATCCTCCTGTTCATCCAGGCTCACCTCTGCAAGATGAACCCACAAAAAAACAGTCATACATCTACAGACACCACCAGGAAGAGCCCTGAAATCTCAGCACAGAAACTGGACTGGTGGACATGAATTTGATAAGCTCTATGAGTGGCTATAGCCATATAACTACTAAACTTTACAGTGAATGCAACAATATAAGATACATTCACCAACTTCGGAAGGGGACAGTAAATTCAACATTTTTGGAATTTTGATTTTAATTTAAGTTAAAGATGTAGCACTAAGTGAGTAAAGGTGAACAATTTTAGCTGATTCTTAGGTGCCGTCCACACGGCAAGAGGCAAACCACTTGGCGCAGAAGAAAAATTTGCTTTCCTGTTCATTTGGTCAGCAGCGAATTGCCCGGTGCTCGCGAAAGGCACTAGATGGGTGAACATTACATCATGAAAGTGCTTGCCATAAAAATAAGTATGACTGTAAAGTGTTTTTTGGCTTGAAACAAAATGAGTTATATTGTTGTGTTACACCAAATGAGTCACACAAAAAAAATGCACTTGCTCTCCTGCTGCTGGATCAAGTGCATTTATAAGAATGCTTACTTTAGTTTCATTAGTTAAATATGCTTACTAAAAACCTGGTATCCCCGTCTCTGCACTTATACACTTCCAAGCAGAATTTGTCTGAATTAAGTCTTGATACGATTTTAAGGTTAAATAATTCGGGGTACTGGGACACTGCAATTATTACTTTCTCCCATGTCATTAAGCGGCTTGGTTTCCAAGTCGCTGAACCTATCCGTCACAAACCGAATATTATATTTGAATAGATGCCACTTTGCTAGAGGTCAGCAAACTAGGTCAAAGTTCAATTGATTTGAACTTAGAGCGGCGTGGCGAAGTTGCAAAAACCAGGTGGTGCTTGGTGCCTAAAGCAGTGTTGCACCGGTGGAGAGCAGCGCTGCTCTCCCCATTGACATAAAATGGTGTAAAGATTTCGCCACTTGCCATGTGGATGCAGTCTTAGCTCTTCTGATGCTTAACCGGAGATGAAGGCATCCTCCTGACCCCCGTCTGAATGCTGCATATAATGAGTTGTAGCCACATGACTGGCTGTTTGTAGCAGTGGACTGTACACGTTCTCAAGCAGGTACACATAATAACCTGTCAGTATGTGTATATTCTAGAGGGAGGTATAAGTGTGACTTATTTCATATCTAGATAGACTCAATTAGAATATCTGCCTCCTCGTCCATGTTGTCTTTGTAAAGCCAGGTTCTCAGATATCCTGCTGATGGGAATAGGATCGTGGTGGACATCCTTACCCCTGGCCTCTACCTCAGATGCAGTTGTGATGCTGACAAACTTCTTTTCCCGCTCCTTCCTCTTCCGTATCATCTTCCTCTGGAATGAGGCCACAGTCTTCAGTAGGTCCTTCCCCTCCACGTCTGAAGGAGGAAGGACAATGCTATAGTCCAGGAATTCATTGATGCCACTGAGGAGGTCCTGTCGATCGTCGGCAAAGTAGGCCACCTCATGGAAATTCTAGCAGGGTTTCAACAACATAACATATTGTCACATTTAAAGTGAGAGGAATGGACTACAAAATACAAAATACCATCAATGAGAACAAGATATTAATAAAGAATAAAAAAGAAACTAAAAGGGCCACCTTATCAGACATGAGAGTTGAGATGGACCGGCCAATCTCATGATAATCCATACTGGACTGGGCAGGACCCAGTAGCACGAAGAGGAACCGCACAGGAACTGGCACCTCCAGGATGGACTCCAGCAGCACCGCCTCACTAAGCCGCACAAAGGCCGAGGCTGGCTGCTCCAAGAACTCCACACAGCCTGTTAAATCACAGAACATGTCAGATGATCCAGCGCCATGGGTGCGTCCAAGCAGGAAGGCTACAGAGGTCCTACAGTAGGGCTAAGCAGACAAAATAGCAAGGTCAGCCCAAACACAGCAGAGTTGAACCCAAACACAAGAGAGATGAACCCAAATACAAAAGAGGTAAACCAAAACACCAGTGGGATGAAGCCAAACACAGCAGAGGTGAAGCCAAACACAAGACAGAAAAACTCAAGCACAACAGAAGGCGACTCCAAACACAGCCCAATCAGTAGCAGATATGTGGGTATGCATTACAGGTCATCATTGACTTAAGACCACATAAGTCGTTGTATTTTATATGCAAAAAATATCATATATACAGTATACTGTATAATAAAATTATATAATCTTTAAGTCATATTGTTTGGTGTTTTTTTAACCTTTTTATCATCATCTTCTCATGGGGATACTAGTGCTGCCAGCAGTTGGGGCAGAAATTATCCTACACTCACACTGGGCAACACTCGTGCTGCCAGATGTGCCACAATCGTGGCCACATATTTGCAGAACGGTCTTGGAACGGTCGTAAACTTGGTCAGTCTCAAGTCACATAGGTCGCAAGTTGACGACGACCTGTATATTGGCAATGGAATTAGAGTTTCATGGTTAAAAGTTCTCCGATGGAAACTGTATATTATTTTAGTTCGGTAGTTAATAACAGGTGATACTAGCTTGACTAGTGTGACTTGCTTCTTAGCAGTTGGGAACCGCCGGAGATGCCATACCCACTAGCACCACAGCCGATTCTGCCTCTTTGGGGATCTTCGCCAGTAACTTTATGCAACGAGAGGGGGCATGTCCTTCAGGGGGGCCAGGGTGGAGTTCTTTCTTTCATTTTCAGGGGACAGACATTGAGGCAACGTTAGCTCAAACCTGTGATCAAGATCTCGTACAGATGCCCCATAAATCATAAAAACACACACTGAGCTTGTGACTGGTCATGCTGCAGAGTTAAGGGACAATGTGCTTCTGTGAAAAAAAGGAATTAAAGAGTTAGTGTTTAACACGTAAGAGAACAACACTCTTGTGTAGTCCATGTAAACCTGCTGCCTGATATGTTAACCTGCTATATGACACATTAGCATGCTGTCTGACATGTTTCCCTGCTGGCTAACACGTTGCTAACACGTTGTTTCCCTGCTGCCTGATATGTTAGCCTGCTGTCTGATAGGTTAGCCTGCTGTCTGACATGTTTGCCTGCTGGCTGACACATTAACCTGCTGCCTGATATGTTAGCTTCCTGTCTGATACGTTAGCCTGATGCCTGGTACGTATGTTAGCCTTCTGCCTAACATGTCTGCCTGCTGTCTGACATGTTACCGTGCTGCCTGACACGTTACCCTGTTATCTGACACATTAGCCTGCTGCCTGATTATGGAAGTAAATTAATGACAAAAGTCGTTCATGAAAAAAAACACGTTGAATTACATTTATCGAATAAAAACGCATTGCATTAATGACGCTTTGAATTTTTGGGGACTGTAATTTAATATCTGCATACATTTAAACATTGAACATTTCAACTGAAAACATTTCAATCGTAGTTTCATTGCTTAAATATTCAGTACAAAAATATTCGGCTTCCAAAATTCAGTTCCAAAAGATACGTATTTTAAAGTGCATATGTTTATAGTAGGTATGTTACAAAAAAAATGAGACAGTAAAATTAAGACCTGCAAATGTTTTCATCAGGGAGAGTGTAAAGAAACATAAATTTTGATACCAAAACCACCCCTCTATGTTCAGTATTAAGGAAGTTATGATATGGTTATGATACAGGTTATGAAGTTTTAATATTCGGGGAATGGCTAATTTCCATGTATTGTCTTTGCATTAGAATAAAACAAAAGCTGTGATCAACAAAAGTGAATGTTCAATAACTTCCTTGTGGGATGAGATAACTGAATGAAACTTTCAACACATACAGAGAAAGTTAAAGAGAATCAGATAAAACACTAAACAATTAAGTTGGATATCTATTTCTCCTTTTAATTAGTTAATTAGTGTGACGGACAAGGCTAAAGATGCAAAAACGCAGTGACCGCCATGACACTCAGTCAATCAGACAAGCGATCTTCGGAACGGTAAATAACTGTCTCGGATTCATTTGATTTTGATGAAACTTCACCAGTTAACAGAAAAAACAATAGAAAGAGCGTCCAATTAGCTTTTGTTATTGTCCAAAGCATAGATTTTGGTTTAGAACAGGTTGAACTTGATGAAAATTTTCGGCGCAAGCAAAAAT